TTACAGAGTGGGATTCATTAACAGAACAACAGTTATTTCACATAAGCTGCATCAGAGACAACTGAAGATGAAAAACTACTGTCCCCATATATAACTAACTTGTGCTGTGCACCAACAAGAACCTGCTTTAAATTTCCATGCCAATTTACAGCCCCCATACTGTACCAGGCAAGGTTAGAGGCTACTGAAAGTACCATCAAGACAGGGCTATCTAAAGACACTTTCAGTAGTATGTTAATTGTACAAAAAGAGACACTGTACAGTTTAAAAACAAATCTTACACAGCCTTGCATTTCATTTTTTTTCTTCAAAAGGAGTGAGTTGTGTACAGGGGGGTTAAATGCTTTATAGACAGAAAAAAACTGCTAGAACCAACTTATTCATCATCATCCTCTTCTTCATTCTCACCCTCTTCATCTTCCTCTTCATCCTCTTCATCCCATCTTCCTCATCCTCCTCCTCTTCCTTCTTTTTCTTGCTTTTTTCAGCCTTGACAACTCCCTTTTTTGCTGCATCAGGTTTTCCTTTAGCCTAGTAGGCAGCGATGTCCTTTTCATATGTTTCTGTCAGCTTAGCAACCTTCTTCTTGTATGGCCGCTTGTCATCTGCTGCAGTATTATTCCAGATTTCTCCAAGTTTCTTTGCAACACCACCAAAGGAGAGGCCAGGTTGTGCTCCTTTGATTTTTGGGTGATACTCAGAACAGAACAAGAAGAAAGCTAAAGGAGGCCTCTTGGGCGCATCAGGATCCTTGAACTTCTTTTTTGTTTCTCCTTTAGGAGAATGTAAGTTTTCATTTCCCTTTCATAACAAGCCTTATCCACCTTTGCCATGTCTTCACATTTTCCTTTCTCTTTAGCAGACATAGTCTTCCACCTCTCTGAGCACTTCTTAGAAAACTCTGAGAAGATAACGGAAGCATCTGGGTGCTTCTTCTTGTGCTCCTCTCGGCAAGTTTGCACAAAGAATGCATATGATGACATCTTGCTCTCGGCTTCTTAGGATCTCCTTTGCCCATG